TTAAAGAGATAATCAAATCTTTGACCAGTTAGGTACAACTACTGGCAGTGTTGAAAGCCACTCAATAAAACACTGGTTTCTGACGCAGAATTGTTAGGGTAATATGTGACCAACAAACCCACTCATCACTCATCTAAGAATTTATCCTAAAGCAATCAGAGAGAAACACACATTCATTTCATATAGAAGGGTTTATCTATCACAACAATATTGATAATAGCAAATAACCCTGGAAATACCCTATTATCAAGTAAGAGAAGAAAAGTTTTTAAAAATCATGATATAGCCAATTACATTAATATTTAAAGCTGTTAAAAATAATATCAAAGAACACTAAAAAAATCCAAGAAGATTTTCATAAGTTAGGTTTAAAAAGCATAAAAAGGCATACCGTTCTATAAAAAAATTATGATATAAACAGAGCAAAAGATCTGGTGGATAAAATAATTCATTTAAAAAATATAAGTGCTTCTTCTGTGTTAATATCATTCTATGTTAAATATTATACTAAATATTATACTATGAATAAAGAAGCAAATAAAACAAACATGTTCCCTGCCTTCTTGAAACTAACAATCTAATGAGGAAAACAGATATTTTAAAAATAGTAATCCTACAGATACAGGCATGCTACTATAGTAGAAAATGCTAATCATTCCTAGTATTTATTTCCCAATTCTTTTTTTTTTTTTTTAATATTAGAGAATTCTTAAGTCTCAAATTTCTCAATTCTTAGTAATAATCCTTGAATTTTATCTGGCCATGACCACCAGCAATAAACTAACTACATTTTCCAGACTTCCTTGCTCCTAGCGGGGCCCATATGACTACGTTCAGACCCATGGGATCTAAGTGCTGCATGCAACTTCTAGTAAACATCCTTAAAAAATAAAGGGCTTGCTCTTTGTTGCTTCTCCCCCTTCTTACCAGATGGAGCAGCTATTTTGGAGGATGATGTGAAAGCTGCATGCTGAGAATGGCAGAGCAACAGAATAGGAGGAACCTGGGTTCCCTGACACCATGGAACCATTCTCAGCAGCCCTAATCCCCCTACAGAACTTTTAGATGACAGAGAAATTAAATTTTCCCTGTTTACATCATTTTCATTTTGGATTTTCAGTCATCCACAACTGAACATAATCCTAAATTGCATAACTATGAAGGAAAATTGAAGGGTTCAATGACAGATTATAACAGAAACAGCTGATTTTGACTAAAGGAAGGAGTGTCAGGGATAGCTCCTCTCAGGAAGTGACATTTAAGCTATGACATAAAACCTCAGCAGGAGGCCACCAGGTAAGGGGAGATAGGGCAGCAAACTGTTCAGGCTGGGGAAACCAAAGATGCAACCACGATGGGCTAACCCTGAAGCACCACAGTAAGAAGCAACAAACTTGGGGATGTTAAGATTGCCTCTACAAGAAATTAGAAAGAAAGCAGACAACTAAAGCAACTAAATGCTTTAGCTTCACATCAGAATATCTCCATAAAAGACTACATATGCTTATCAAAAAATAAGGGGGTGTGGGGTGAGAATGAGAGTGAATTCTGTTAAAGAAATTAGTAGTTGCTTCTGCACTTCAGCATTACTAGTAAGTGTTTAAAATGGTTGGATTCTCTGATTAGAGTGGTTCATATATTTAATACCATGAGAAGAATGTCATTAGACTTCTAAATGTGAACTATGCCTGAAACAGACAAGAGCTTGATGTTAAAAAAAATTTTTTTAATAATATTTCTTGTTTATTTCTGATTCTAAAAGGGAAACATTTATTGTGGAGCATTTAGAAAATATATGTAAGAGTATGTGGAAAAAATAAACCACCTGTAAACTTACCACCTTCCCATGTTTTATGCTGACACTGTTTCTACATACATTTTCATGCCTACATACATATATACCCAAAATAAACATAAAAATAAAACTGTAATGCACATAAAGTTGTGTGTACTCTCTCACTTATTAGTTCAGAGCACATTCCTGTATCATTAAAATACTTCCCAGAACCATGATCTTAATGGCTATATAGGATATAATTTATTGAGCCAATCAAGTCAGGGATTTTCTGAGTTAAAACTGTCAGCCCCAAATTGAAGCCCTGCAGGTCAAGAAGCTGACTGAAATCTGCCAGAGTTTCTCTTTGGAAATCTCAAGTTACAGTTTAAAAGCACTAGAACTTTCCAATCAAGAATTTGATGAAATTCACTGAGGTTTAGCCAGGAAGGCTGCTTACTAAAGGCTGTATTTTCCCAAATGGAGCATACGATTACATAGTTTTAAGGGAGAAACTGAGTAAGTATCAAAGATTGAAGTGGCGACAGTAAATAAGAACTAGTGTCTACTGCAAGAAATAGTGACTATCTGCAATGGTTTTTTTTTTCTTTTTTTTTTTTTGACATAGAGGTCTGATACAATTTTTTTTAATAAAACAAAAGAAGAGAATGTATGAATCCATTATTTGTATAATTAAAATTTTCTAATAAATAATGAAAAAAGGATTACAGAAAAATGCACAAAGAGTGGAAGTAAATATGACAAGGGTTTAAGTGTGAAATATGCCATTATTCTCCAAACTTTTCTGTATTTTAAATTTTTCTAACAAAAAATTAATGTTAAATTAAAATATTAGTCATATGAATAAGGTAATTCAGACTTTAGTTATTAAAGTGGAAGGACGATTGGTTAGGTTCTGCCAGAGGATAAACGGCTCTTTTGAGGAAAAAAAATGAGCATAGCATTAGGAAGCTGTTCTAAAATAAAACTATTTTATTTTTTTGAGACGAAGTATCCCTCTGTCACCCAGGCTAGAGTGCAGTGGCGCAGTCTTGGCTCACTGCAACCTCTGCCTCCTGGGTTCAAGTGATTCTTCTGCCTCAGCCTCCTGAGTAGCTGAGTAGGCACGTGCCATTATGCCCAGCTAATTTTTTATTTTTAGTAGAGACGGGGTTTCGCCACGTAGGCCAGGCTGGTCTCAAACCCTTGATCTCAGGTGATCTGCCAGCCTTGGCCTCCCAAAGTGCTGGGATTAAAGGCGTGAGCCACCATGCCTAGCCAATAAAATTATTTTAAACTAAATAATAATGTCACATGTTGAAAAGTTTGAGGAGGGATGAACCTTTGAACATTACAGCTGTGCTTCCTTCAATTATTAGCCTACCTAAAAATGATATTTTTCTGTTCCATCAAGAAAGTTGTTTTAATAGTTAAGGAAATATTATAAAAACTGCAGGACTGAATTCTAGTTTCTGACTTTAGTTTTATTTACTTTGTATATCTAAAGTTTTCCTGATGTTAGACATTTTAAAAAATTCTAGTTTCTGAAATCCAAACTTAGTTCAGAGGACAATTAGAGCTTGCCACTTGATGAAATATCTTAGACAGATAGCTGCAATTTTCTATTCTGTAAGGTCCATAGCAGAAAAAGATTAAAGAATAAAAAGTTACAGAATAAACCAAATCTATGTTAGTTCTCACAAACAAAAATTTCGAGTAAATGTGAAATTCTAAAAATTGTCCCACTTTCCCCAAATGTAGCCTTAAGTTATCTTAACTTTGCAACAGCATCCCCCAACCCCTACTCCGCTAATCAGTTCTCACCTTCTTTCCCTGCTGGAACACGTGAATTTTTCAGCAAATGTGACTCATTCATTGGCATCTTGTCAAACTAACCCTGAAACTATAAGGAGGCTCAGCACTAACAGAATTCTAAAGCTAGAACACTTTCACTAACACACATCATGTTGACTTTAGAGAACTGAATCACATTCAGAGCCAAATACATGCTAACCAACTCTGTTTATATTTTTTCTTACAAATTGTTCTCCACCATCCCACCTCCTCCCAATTTTAGTTTGGCAATTCCCTAATCTAAAATACCTCCTGTCTGTGGAGAAGACAAGGTGGGGACGCATAAGAATAGGAGGGAAGAATATAAAGCATTTGTTCACTCAGCTTGGAAGATGATTCTATTCTGAAACATTAATGATTCATATCTCTTCCACATAGTTCTCAAAGTTTATTTCTCCCCTCACTTAAATGAAAACACAATAGAAACACAATAAAAAGTCTACAGGAATAAATTATTCTCATTGTTATTATTTCACTAAATAACATTAAATAACAACATGAAAATCAGTTATTGAGAACTATTTCGTCAAAAATCTTCAATGAAATGTCACTGGCACAAAATATCAACTGCAAATCACCTTATTCTTTTCATTAATACATTCACCTACTCCAAGACAGAAAACCACTCTTTCTAATCAGAGGGAGAGTGGTTGGGAAGAAACAAGAAAATAAATGCTTTATGAGATTACCATAAACATTTACTTAAAGCTCTATCAATTGCCACACTCCACCTGGTGGCAGGCACTGCTTGAATTGGTAAAGTGCAGGTCATCATACAAAAAATTCCAAAGAATACTTTCCAGATGTCCTCAGAAAAAAGCAAGATTTTCTTCTCCTGCCCTATATGGAATAAGTCTAACAAGATTTCACCAAAGTTTTTTCACATAATAGTAGGTCAATATCTAATAGAGATTAACATAAAGGCATGACCATACTTAGAATGGGAGACCTACATTTAGAGCAATCTACTTACAACAAGATTTTCTCCACAGTAAGTTAAATGTCATCTCAAGGTTTTAAGACAGGTAACGAGGTACACACAGCACCTACAAGATTCTCTATCACCTACTCTCGCTGTCTTTACTCCCTCCCCTATGGATAAACTATAGAGTTTAATTAACACAGTTAACGGCAGCCTGCCACATTGCTTTTAGGTATTTGCCAGTAACATATACCCATGGGATACTCTAGAGACTGATTTCAACCAAAAATAAAAATAGATAAACAGAGCTCAAACAAAATTAAAACCGAGTCTGGCTGCCCACACTTATTTTCACACATGAGGAAAAATAGCAGTTCTCTTAGAAGCCTCTAGCAGACATATCTTTAGAACACAATGTTAAAAATATGCCCCCCTCCCCTTTTCCCCTACCTGTTTCTCACTCAAAGCTGTGATTTTGGCTTGGAGTTCATGAAGCTGTTTCTTTAAGTCAGCATTCTGATTGGAAAGAAAAAATATCTGTGAGAAAGATATTTCATTTGTTAACAGAATAGTAGCAGGAAGACTCTGCATACTGTATCACAAATGATGAAGCAACCTGAAGCATACAGCCAATCAAATCTGTCATGTATTATTATACTGTGGCCATAATACCATCACTTAATGCATAGATCCTAAATATAGGCTCCTAGCACCAAAGCAGGAACAGCTTCTCTGAAATTGTTTTAAATTACATGAAGTTTTATATTTGAGCATCCTGCGCTGTAAGAGTACCTGTCCACTAAAATACTCTTATTCTTTTTTTTTCTTTTTTTTTTTTTTCAATACTCTTATTCTTTATAGAAAGTTTTCTGTTGACAGAAAACCCAAAGCTCCACTAATCACACAGAAGTAGGTAAATGGGGGTTTATAAGTATACATACACTACATACTTTACAGCATTATCAACAAAGATAAGAGGTTTTTCTCCACTTGCCCTCTCCCTTATTTAGCAAAGTACATTTGTTATTTTAGCCTAGATCTGAAAAGCTGTCAGTACTGCAACTGCCTTAACACTACATCATTCAAATTAACACAGTGACTACCAGGGCATTTTCTCAGTTCTAAAATTCTAGGAATCAAAAAAAGAATACTATTTTAGATGAGATACACTGAGCATGACTGCCTTTTACTAAAGTAGGCAGAAAAATTCCAAAATTAAAGTTTTCAAATGCTTAATGTAGCAGGACAGCCTACTAGCAGACTGAACACCACCCTAATGAGAGACCACTTTTACTTGATTTGTCTCACATACAATTTTTTCAATTTACCCTGCTTTGTCTTCTGTCAGGGTTAGGGAATACATTCTCCTCATCTATTAAATTTTATTTACTCCATGTCTACTTTTTTATTAGTGTATTTGACATAAGGTTTCTCCAATGAGATCATCCACAATGCTGTCCAACAAGTTACTGCCCTGCCCACCTCAGATTCTTCAGGTTAAGACAATTCTGTTACATGACCACAAGTATAATAGAAATGATAGTTTCTAGTAACATTTCACAGTTGCTGATAACGTAGGTTACCACATTAAATAGGAAAGGAGCTGTTAATCTAAAGTCTACCACGTCTTGGTTTTCTAAATCCAATTTATTATTTATTTATTTTGAGATGTAGTCTCGCTCTGTTGCCCAGGCTGGAGTGCAGTGGCACAATCCTCCAGGGTTCAAGCGATTCTCCTGCCTCAGCCTCCTGAGTAGCTGGGATTACAGGTGCCCGACACCACGCCCAGCTCATTTTTGTAACTAAATTCAATTTAAATTGTGAATATGCCAAAAAATTGAAGAAAAAAAAAAGAGGAGAAGTTTCTCATGGAAGTGGGACCATTTAATAGGAATAAGTATGCCAGCTCTCAGAGGCAAAACATAATAGTCAGACCTGAGTTCAATTTGTGGAGATAAGCGTTATTTTTCACTTCCAAAAATCAATGTGCCTCAGTACCATTCTTCAACCAAAAACTTAATTTTACTTTACAATGAAGGCTGTTTGGAATGTTTATCAACCCAGATATATACAGAGATATATTTGATAAACGCTCTCCATACTTATGACCCAGTATCTAATGGTTAAAAAAGAGACACTACCCAATAAAAAATATAATCATCAAGATAACGTTTTAGAAAAATGTCTCTTCAGGAATAGAGAATAAAATGGCTTAGTGAAAAATGCCTACGAGAATTTAAAGAAAAGTTAACATTCTCTGTTAACTTTTCTGTTAAAAAGTAACATAAGGTACTTTTTAAACCTCCTTTAAAGGTTCTTTCAAAAATAAAATTTTCTAAAATGCTTCTTTTAAAAATTACTCTTAAATTCTTACCCTGAAAGTAGATAATTCAGAACTATTCAAATGTTCTGTAATATAAGCTCCAAGTAAACAGAAATGGTTTGGGGTCACTTTTCATAATATTGAGATGTCAGAAAGCCTCAAAAACTGATTTTGAATAAGTGGGTTTATGGAAATGAATTTAAGCTATATGAAGAGTATTAACTCAATATTTTCCTCCAAAATACTCAAACCAATTCATATAAAACCAAAATGACAGTAACAAAGATGAAATAACAGCTATATTAAATTAGAATGACTGAATTTTTCTAAACCCTTAATACCTGAAGATCAATGTATTAAAAAATAACTGCTATTAGAAATGAAAGAATTCTTAAAAGTTAAGCATCATCCATATTTCAGTATTTTACGGTGACTTGACTTTAAATTATTTTTTAATTTGAAAATTAAATGAATAACAATAGCAGTTTACCTGTGGATCCTGCTTCATTTGAGCAACCAGTTTCTGGTAATAAAGAGAGAAAAAGAGCCATCAGTCTTACATATTAACTCCCTATGGCTAATCAGGTTTGGACCAAAAAATCTAGGATTTTAAGTTAACACAAAAAAATGAGCAATACCACAATCAGAACAGACTAAAACCTGTGATCCATGTAAAAGGCTCAGGAAGCACACCCTTTCATTAAAAAAAAAAAAAAAAAAAGAAAATCAAACTACCACTTTATATTTGAAATGAAAAAGTGCCTGATTTTTAAATCTGGACACAGAGATGGGAGACAGTGGCTTCTGAAAGGAATTAAAACAAGCTGGATGTTCCAAAAGCCAAATATCCCTTTCAAATGTCATCAATGTCTAGAGTCCAAAAAATGTCATCAATGTCTAGAGTCCAAACAAGGCCTGGAAAGAAGCTGGCCCTACACAAAACCAGCCTGTTTATACACAGCGCAAAGTACAGATTTGGCAGTTCTATTGGTCTGGTTCTTACCACAGAAGGAGCTTAGTGTCACATGTGACTTTGCCACTGTCTTCTCTCAAGACAGAGGTGGGTGCAGGAAAGGATAAGTTCAATGGGGCAGTGAAGCTCCGTATTTGAGAACAAGGAAGTGCAGGAACAATATGAAACTCTACCTAACTCGGTTCCTCTGGGAAAGAGAGTGATACCCCAATACTAAATGGAAAAGATATTTACTAGGGAAAACAGAAACCCAAACAAATAACAAAGAGAGAAAAATGAATGTCTTTTGACCTAAGCCAACTTTTAAAAACATCATTGCCCAAAAGTAACAATAACCATAGACAGAAAAATTTGAAGGATAAAGGAGCATCAGAAGTCCTAAAGTATCTGGGAATATGCTATTACTCAAGTCAATTTTTCATGTAATGGAAAAATACATCACTCTCTTTTGGTGACAAGGCACTTTTAAAGTGTTTAGTTGTGAAGTAAAACCTTTCTAAAATATACTATATATTTATCTAACTATACTTTTTGGTTTTTTTTGAGATAAGGTCTTGCTGTCACCTAGGCTGGAGTACAGTGGTGTGATCACGGCTCCCTGCAGCCTCGACCTCCTGGGCTTAAGCGAGCCTTCCAACTTAGCCTCCCGAGTAGCTAGGACTCCAGGTGCAAACTCGCATGCCTGGCTAATTTTTTAACTTTTTGTAGAGACAGGGTCTTGTTACATTGCCCAGGCTGGTCTTAAACTCCTAGGCTCAAGGAATCCTCCCACCTTAGCCTCCCAGAATGCTGAGATTAAGGTGTCAGCCACCACACCTGGCCTAACTTCTAAAAGAAGAAAAAAATAAAATAAAAAAAATCAAGCTTTTATGGATACTTAGAAGAATGATTATATTAAACTACAAACAATAGGGTCCTTACCAAAAAGGTCTCAAAGTACTATGTTTTACAGTTCTTAAATCCACGTTGTAGTTTTTCAGTCCAGTCCTTAACATCAAGTAGTCCCCCAACATATCTTGCTACTATTCTTTCTTTGTTTTTTTAAAGATGGGGTCTTGTTCTGTCACCCAGGCTGCAGTGCAGTGGCACAATCATAACTCACTCCAGCCTCCAACTTCTGGGCTCCAGCAAATCCTCCCACCTTAGCCTCCTAAGTAGTTGGGAATACAGGTACACACCACTATATCTGGCCTTTTTTCCCCCCCTTTTTTGGTAAAGATGACATCTCCCTATATTAGCTAGGCTGATCTCAAAATCCTGACCCCAAGTGATCCTCCTGCCTCAGCCTCACAAGCAGCTTGGACTACAGGGTTAAACTACCAGGCCTGCCTAACTTTTCTTTTCTTTTTTTTTTTTTTTTTTAACATTTTTAGGAGATGAGGTCTCACTAAGCAAACAGGCTGGTCTTGAAATCCTGACTTCAAGCCATCCTCCTGCCTCAGCCTCACAAGTAGCTTGGATTACAGGCTTGAACTGCCAGGCCTGACTGATTTTTATTTTTTTAATATTTTTAAGAGATGAAGTCTCACTGTGTTATCCAAGCTGATCTCGAAATCCTGACCTCAAGTGATCCTCCCACCTTAGCCTCCTGAGTAGCTGAGATTACAGGTATGAGCCACCATGCCCAGCTCTTGCTACTATTCTAACAACCCTGAAACCCAGCTCAAATTTGCTGCTTTAGACCTGCTGTGTGGTATACTCACTGGACTCATTTTAAGACAAGTGAATAGGATGTAATAATCGAAGAAATCCTCCTTTAGTAAAATGTACAATCTTTGGTGTATCACTTCAGACATTTATTCTAACTGGTCAAAAGTCTTTATCGCTAGTGCTAAGACACATTTTAGATAACTGAGGTTGCCAACCATGAGACCTCCAAATACATAAGGTATGTGTCACTATATTCTACTTCATATTTAATGGCAGTAGTTCTTCTATGTCCTAGACTTAAACTACAAAATAGTAACAATGCACATTCCAAGGGTTTAAGAGAATTGAAACACAAGGTTTTATACATATACATTTTTACATTAACGCTAGCCACACTCTTCAATGAAAAAAGTTCTTGAGTTTCCTTTTTGATTTGGTTACCAAAGGACTGGCTACTACGCTGTTACCTTTTAGAAGCTGAAAAAGGTTTTCTTCCAGACACTGGAATTTAAAAATGCACTGATAACCACATGAAGTCTTCACCTCTACAGGAAATAAACAAGCCAACTTTTCTGTCTATAAGCAGTTAAACTGCATTTTAAACAATCAGGGGTAGAACAGGACAAGATGGACAACTTACTGGATCATCCAAATCCCTAGTAACTTTAAGCTGACATCATGTTAACAAAGTTAAGTTACTTTCTATTGCAAGAATGCGGCAGTATTTCTTGAGGATATATTTTACACCAAAGGTAAGCAAAACAACTCGTGGGCCGAATCTGGCCGGCCACCTGTTTTTGCAAATAAAGTTTTATGGAAAAAAGCCTACTCATAATATTGTCCATAGCTGTTTTGTCTGTGCAACAGCAGAGCAGAGTAGTTGTGACAGAGACCATAAATTACCTGTAAAGCCGGAAATATTTTACTACGTGTCCCTTTACAAAAAAATTTGCTAACCTCTGCTTTATACTATTCTCCATTACATATGGAGTAAATACCCTGAAAATTTAAATGTGACTTCCATCAAATCTAAATAAGATCGAAGAAGGGAAGAGGAAAAAAGGCGATTTTCCCAAAAAGATGAGATGTCCATCACAGGACATTATTATTTAAATGTTTATTGAGCATCAACTATGTGTACGTTGCTACTTTCATAACTATCTTCCCATTAATAAAGAAAACATAAAGAACAAAAATATGTTTTCACTACAGCAACACCAAGTAGTTGCAGAAAACATTTTCTATCCAGTAAGCTCAGTTTCATCCCTAATCTCGTACCCTAGCTGGAAATGCAACAAAGGGTGTCTTTGGCCCCAATATTTAGCCAAATGTATGTTCTGGCTTTGGTCTCAGACTAGTAACCAATCCCCCTACCTCAATGCCATTTCTGGCATGCCTCAATTTCTCATAATCAATGATTGTGTAGGTGACACCACAGAAATTACTTTTCCAAAAACAGTAAAGTATTAAAGATATAACTAGAGTGAAATTATCTTATGTGTTCTCTGTTAAACATTATTGACATATAAATGTTTACTATCACAAAAACATATAAAAGCTACTAATTGTATGCTCAAAACTGACAGTTAATATGAATATTAAGAGAGTTTTCAGAATAACTTTAGGAAGAATACTGTATCTCTTTTGAGTCAACAAATGTAAATTTAAAATTTTAATTAGATTTAAAACAGAATAATAAATATTGTTTTTCATAATTGTGATGCTTATAAAATTGGTATGCTTGAATTTGGAATATGAAACAAAATATTTAGTAATTAACTTCAATTAATTTAGGTCATGAACCTTTCAAGAAAGGATTATTTGGGACTTGCTCACATCTTGTAAGGAGGAACTAAAGCAGAATGTTAACTTTACCATCTTAATACTTCCTCAGAAGAGGAAAAACTCCAAAAATCACACACATCATAAAATCATCCTTGGCCGGGTGCAGTGGCTCAAGCCTGTAATCCCAGCACTTTGGGAGGCCGAGGCGGGTGGATCACGAGGTCAAGAGATCGAGACCATCCTGGTCAACATGGTGAAACCCCGTCTCTACTAAAAATACAAAAAAAAATTAGCTGGGCATGGTGGTGCGTGCCTGTAATCCCAGCTACTCAGGAGGCTGAGGCAGGAGAATTGCCTGAACCCAGGAGGCGGAGGTTGCGGTGAGCCGAGATCGCACCATTGCACTCCAGCCTGGGTAACATGAGTGAAACTCCGTCTCAAAAAAAATAAAAATAAATAAATAAATAAAATCATCCTTTATCCACACAAATTTCAGATTCATTCGTATATTCCCAAAATTCATTCTATGATGCTGAGAGCTTTGAACAAAATGTGAATTTAATTTTTATCACTTGCCATTCAGCCAAACTGGTTATTCAACACACCTCTATGTTAAACTACTTTCACTCAGAAAAAGGCAAGCTTGTTTTTGTAACAAATTTCTACTCTCCTCAGTACCAGAAGCAAGGTTTTTTTAAAAAAAAAAAAAGTATGCTGCTTATTACCTACTTAAAGAAGCCCATGTGCACAGGGCCAACTCTGCAGCGGAACAAGAGTTTAACGAGATCCGGAGCGGCAGCAGGGATTTCTGAACAGGTGCTTCTGAAGCTTCCTTTAAGTTCTCACCCACACTAATTCTGGGCAACATGCAAATCTAGTAGTTATCAAAGGCCCAAGATATTCTCCCAGTGATTTCAAAAGCTAATGTTATCTTAGACTACTCAGATAAAACAAAGGAATCTATACCCTAAGAACAAACACCTTTAAAAAGTAGTTTTACTTCTCCTTCTCTCCACTCCCATATCCCCCATTGTTACAAATTCAGAAGCAGTCCATGCATCATCCTTAATCATTTTTGAGTACCAAGGACTATATACATGCATACATATGTATGTCTTCAGTCTGATGTCCAGCTAAAGTCTAGAAAGATATAAAATAGTGGTACTCGGTTTAGATAACAAAATTTTAATTATGTAATTATTTAAAGATGGCTTTTTGTTTTGATTATAGTATAGTTATGTATACATTTACTTTCATATATTCACATATAAATTACATTTAATATTTTAATATTTTATTATTATACACATAAAATATTGTTTTACAAACATATTTAAAATTTATTTATATACACATTTTTATAATTACTTTAAATGTTTAGTCTGGGTATCTGAGATAAAATATAAGAATTGTGAAATCTGAAATTTAAACATCTGTGAAGACAATCACATTTTCTTTACGAAAGATTGGAATCAACACATAAAGCTGAGTCATATGATCTGTAAAAATTTTAGTACATATGGTAGTTGAGTTAGACATGTTGTTATTTAAAACATGCAAGTTAAATCACATGAATAAAGCCCTTCAGATGAACCAAAAAGCAGAAAAAAGATTTCTTTCTTTTTTGTTAACACCTCTGGTATATTAAAAAAATAATCTTTTCAGTTCTTTTCTTTAGAAAGGAAGTCAGGAATATTTTCTTTAATTTCTTAAAAGTAGTATCTAGACTTTTTGAGTAGTGATAAAAGGCAAATGACATGACTCTTGGGTAACTGTCTTAAAGATGATTACAAACTGTACTAAACACCAGAGATGGGCTTGTTTACTAATCTTGACCATTACTTAACAACAGTGTGGGAGAAGCCAACACTACAACGTACCTGGTGAACCTGAATTTCCACTTTAAGAGCTTCCTGTAGAGTCTGCAACTCCATCCTCTACCTTCTCCACTTTCTCTGCTGATTCTATAGTTTCTTCAGCCTCTGTTTAAAGTAACAAACTCCTCTTCTCACTGCAGCTGTAAAGATCATAAAATGTTTTGGATCATTACATTTGGAATAAACAAAATATTTATGTCAAATAAATTTTGTCAAAAAATATTTGTTTCTCTAACACAGGGCAAGAAATTTCTCAAAGATATTTTTTTTTCTCCAAAACAATTCTTCAAGTATTCCTCTAAAGAACGTTTCAAAAACTAAGAAATGAAAAACCAAAAAAAGGGTTTAATCTGGTCATGGAAACATCTAAGCACCCACCACACGTTCAGCACTGTGTTAATTACTACATACTGAGGATATAGAGGTGAACAAGACCACTTCGGCCCTCAATGAGACTATAACCATACAGGACACGCTGTCCTCAGAAGGAGACATATAACAACAGAATCGTACATTTTTAAACTTCACACAGAGTGAACTGGAGAGTTCAGGGTTTCTTGGAAGTTAATGAATGCCAGGGTACTTTTATTTGCATGAGTTCTTACTCTATATAAAAAATTGAGAAACTCAAAATGGGAAAATTCTGGTATAACTTAAGCATTTACATTTAACAAATGAATGCTGAACACAGATAAATACAATGCAATACAACTGTGCTATCCACAAAGTTATGATGTGGATATTTTAAAATGTATCTATTGTGTGTAACATTATGAGGTGGTCTAGTAATGGAATGCATTTCCAACTTTACAATGAAAATCATCTTCTTTCACACTTGCCAGTCATCTCTTTGACTATACATATAATGGCATGTGGAAATAATGTCAAAAGTCTAAATCTGTGAATGTGACACCCAGCTTGACCTTCCTATCCTCCTCCAATTATCACTACTCTAAATTAATTCAGTGGCTAATTCATCCTTTATTACTTTTTTCTTTTCGTGAATGTGGCCTTAGACATGATTTTAGGTACTCTGCCAAAGCAAAAGTCTGTTTTTGTCTGAATAAATTTAAATTTTACTTCAAATTTCTTTTCTTTGCACCTATAAAACTTGTAGCTAGAGAAACTTTTTAGCATTCATATAAACTGGGGAAGGGAACAATCAGAAAGTTAGAGGAACCACTACGCCTTAAACCAGTACAGTAAGATTCATGATCTTCATATTTCTAAATATTATTTAACTATGGGTAAAGTCTATATTCAACCTAAGTTTTCTAAAAGTCCTCTGAAAACTGGTTTAACAGAGTTATAATGGAATCATTAACTAGGTAACGTATTTTTGTGAATGTGAGTTTTCATTATATTTGCTTATTCTCATTAGGCATAAAACAGCAGTAGCAATCTTTCTTAGGGCTTATATACTATATTATGTATCATCAAAATACTCAAATGTAAAAAAGAATAAATTTCGAAAGTGCAAAATTCCTTTAAATTCACTTTTGTAAAGGGTAGGAAAGGTTTACTGTATAATGATAATGTCAACCAAAACATTTTAAAAGGCAGTATATTTAGGGGAGATATTAATAACTTAGAAAGGGAGACATATTGTGGTAAACAAATCTGGGTAGTTTTAGCTACTTACTATCTTTTACAATATTTGGAACAATAACCAATCAATAAATAAATATCAGAATCATAAAGTTACTAAGACAAGGATTTTTATTATTATCATGTAAGCTTACTCTACCTGCAACACTAAAGTTAAAACTACAGAGCCAGTTTAATTTTAAATACTAAAATAATCTCCCTACTCAAATTCTTGACTTATGTATTACAGTTCTTCTTGAAAACAATACTTGGTTTTAATTTTTACAAGGCTCTACCAGAAAATGTGTCCAAAATGATTCCTTATAATTTTTTTCAAGTCAAGAATCACTCTGAAGTTGAAGGGGTATTTTTCAAATATTCATACTTTATTCTACTGATAGTAACATATAAAACCATAGTTCAACTCAACTCACATAAACTCTGGAAATGAACAGCAGGTTAAAACACCAAGAATTTACATTATACGTGACAAATGGCTAATATAGTTTATATATTCAGGACTCTCAAAAATTGATAACAAAAATCTATGAAATAACAATTTACAGAAGAAATAAGAATGACCAACAAACATAAAAAACTTCCAACTGCAATTAAGACACAGAAATATAATTAAGATGATATGCTCTGTCTATCAAACTGAAGACCTGTAAAAATAATAAAACTGTGAGCTGTGTAGAATTTCTGTCAGGTGTCACTTCATAATTTGCTGATGGTTATCTCTAGGTGGTAGCACTGACAGTCATTAACTTTCTTCTTTTTGGGGTACTGATATTTTCAAAATTTTCCATTTAAAAAATGCACTTCTTTTTAAACAAGAAAACATTAACCAAGGATTAGTAGATAAAGCATCAGAAAATGTTACACTATCAAACAAAATGCTCAGGAAAAGAAAAAGTTAAAACCAGGGTTTAACCCGAAGACTGTAAATGTCAAAGAGTGCCTCGCACAATAATAAGCCTGCAACTCAAGCTAATGAGGAGCTGATGGCTTTTACTTTCTCCATCAGATTGTTGTCTGCTTCTTAGAGATACACAAAGGCATGAAGTTTTACTTGGCAAGGACTCTAAATGCCAACTACTCATTTATTTCAAAATAAAACTGAAGGGTTAAAAAAAAGGTAGGACTAATTATAGAAAAACATATGAAGGATTAGAAGATTCACTTGAAAATATTTTTCTTTTCTTCAGAAAGGTCTCCTTCTGGACAGTAATTTTAAGAGACTGGTCTGTGTGTAAAGAAACAAATTACATGGCCGGGCGCGGTGGCTCACGCCTGTAATCCCAGCACTTTGGGAGGCCGAGGTGGGTGGATCAAGAGGTCAAGAGATCGAGACCACCCTGGTCAACATGGTGAAACCCCGTCTCTACTAAAAATACAAAAAAAAATTAGCTGGGCATGGTGGCACGTGCCTGTAATCCCAGCTACGCAGGAGGCTGAGGCAAGAGAATTGCCTGAACCTAGGAGGCGGAAGTTGCAGTGAGCCGAGATCGCGCCATTGCACTCCAGCCTGGGTAACAAGAGTGAAACTCTGTCTCAAAAAAAAAAAAAAAAAAAAAAAAAAAAAAGAAACAAATTATATACATATATTTATAGTTTACAAAAACGAGGCAGGTACATATTGAATCTTGCTTTTCTAATTTTATTTTTTCTTGTAGAGAAGGGGTCTCACTATGTTGCCCAGGCTGGTCATGAATACATGCTGAATCTTTTGAACAAAATTTTTTTGGCCAGGCATGGTGGCTCACACCTGTAATCCCAGTTCTTTGGGAGGCTGAGGTGGGTGGATCATAAGATCAAGAGATCAAGACCATCCTGGCCAACATGGTGAAACTCCATTTCTTCTAAAAATACAAAAATTAGCTGGGCGTGGTGGCACACGCCTGTAGTCCCAGCTACACAAGAAGCTGAGGCAGGAGAATCACCTGAACCTGGAGGTGGAGGATGCGGTGAGCCAAGATCACGCCACTGCACTACAGCCTGGGCAACAGAGCAAGAAACTGCCTTAAGAAAAAAAAAAAAAAATTTTTTTTTTTTCCTGAGACAGGGTCTCGTTGTGTCACCCAGGCTGGAGTGCAGTGGTGTAATCACGGCTTACTGCAGCCTCGACTTCTACGCTCAAGCAATCCTCCTGCCTCAGACTCTTAAGTAGCTGTGACTACAGGTGTGCACCACCTGTAGCAATGGCTAATTTTTGCATTTTTTTGTAGTGACGGGGTTTTGCCATGTTGTTCGGGCTGGTCTTGAGCTCCTGGGCTAAAGTGATCCATCCACCTTCAGCCTCCCAAAGTGTGGGATATTAGCCACTGCATCCAGCTGAAAAAATATTTTGGACATATTTGGACATATTTTAGATCTTGGACATATCATGCAGTCATCATCTGAACACCACTGGGAGGTAATTCATAGCATCAAAAAAATTATTTGCTACACTTTTAAAAGATAATTTAACATATTTTGACAAATTCTAATAAGTTATAAAGAAGCAATCAGTTACTGCAAGGTGAATATCATCAGACTCACAAGACAGTAACACACTGTATTCCAGCATAATACCTCTCACCATCCAACAGCTCTACAAGGCACCATCAACGAGGGCACTTCCCTAGCCCAAAATATTCGCATTTGCAATCTGTCAAACTGTACACATCAAAGCATTCTGATACCTAATGGCCTCTCACCTTCCAATAACAACAGTAACAAAAAACGTAAAACCAAACACACAAAATCAAACAAACAGAAACAATTATTAAATCCCACTAAAAAGGTCAGCCAAGGAAAGCACATTCATCATCCCAAAAAACAAAAACACTAATTCTACTTACTCACGGTGTGACTACTCTCATCCTCAGGGTTTGTTTGCTTGTAAATCAGGAAAATTGAAACAATATCACCTACTTCATAAGACTGTTGCAGTTTAAATAAGGCAAAATTATATGAAAAGCCCTTTGCAAACTGTAAAGTTTTATGATAGTTTTAATACATTTAATTCTTTTCTCTATACAGACTTTTTAATGAAACTTCTCTACACAGTATATATCTAGAAGACTGTAAGCTTTTCTGTTCACAAACTCTCTATGGAGATTCTTCTATTTCTCTGGGTATACGTCCGCTTGAAGGTATGTGACCTGTAGGTCTTTTATTATGATTCTAATAACTTGTAGGAAAGCTGTAACTCCAATTTTACTGCTAAGAAATATTTTGCTGTTACTGAATTGACAGAAACCTTTTTCCAATCAAAACTTGACTCATCGACCAACATTTCTTTAACAATAAGTCCATGACATAGTGTGCCCCAAACTGTCTCTAAAAAGGACAATTCCATGTTCTCTGTACCATGCATTTATTTGGTGTGAAACTCCTCTGCTTCTGATCCATATTCTCAGACACAATGTTTAAAGTAGGTTAAATTCATTTTTTTAAATAAGAAAAAGTAGTAAGTCTTGACAGAACTATGTATTTTTATTTCTTGTCCCATGCTTAATACTCAAATATCAAGTTTCAATTTGTACAAAATACTTAACTTCTTACTATGTATCTAACATATATAGAGATAAAATATCTTCATTAACTTTAGTGCTAAAATTACCATGAATGCCAAAAATAATAAAATTCTTTTAATATTACTTATTAAAAACTTTAACATTAACATGAATCAACACAAATGACAACATTAAAAAACATAATGTAATGTTTATTTTCTTATCATTTAGCACATTTCAACACATCTTGATTTATTTTCATCACAGTATTTCTTTTATGACACTCCACAGGTGAACAGAAAATACTACTGCACAAAGAGCTTTGCAATTCTGATCTTAGAGGCTAACCCTCTGAATCTGGTAAGGTTACTATATTCAAATCCTGGTATGACAGCTCTTGACAAATGCCTCCCTTAGCTAGTTGGATGTTTCCATATTATTAAATTACATTTAATAATGTTGTTTCCTAATTATTAAATTAAATTAAAAATATATATGCATACATATCATTACATTTATGATATCTAAATGCCTGAATGTATGAGGGTATAAAATATCTTTCTCATCTCTATTTGTTTTGGAAGGGGTAGGGGGTAAGCCCTCATTTTGTTAAAAAGGAATCTCTATGCAGTTCATACCTCTGCTGCAATGTGCAGGCTTTTATGGTGCCTTGGGCCAGGCCAGGGTTACCCATAGCACCTTCCTTCACAGGTCTGCGTAGAGTCCTGGACCCCTCCCCACCATCATCAGTGCTCAGCCCAATGTACATTTTATACCTCTGCTTTCTGGGGTCTAGGCTGTCTACATACAGTCTTCTATTTCTTTTCTTTGCAAAAATCAAGCATGTCTACTAAATTATCCCAGCCACATCCAACAAAAAGAAAACTGAGTAAATTTTTAAATACACAGAAATTGACAATGGAGGTTGGGAAGTAGGGTTTAAGAGCATAGTGACATTGAGGCCAAGATTTTAGAACTGGTTATCACATTTACCAGAATCCTATTAATATTTAATGACTATTTTTTTGAAAAAACTGTCCAGACATGCATGTCCAGAATCTTACAAATATATACCACACAAAGGATAACACAAGTGGGTGTGGTAGTTTTAGCATAACCAATAAATACTTAATAGAAGTGGAAGTTATGGGAGATATATTTCAGATCAATATAAGGAAAAGGAAGAACTAAGGATTAGAATTGTACAAAAAAGGAATGGGTTACCTTATGAGGTAGTGGGCTCCCTGTCATTAGAAGTATTCAAGAATGCTGCATATCATATCCCCCTCTTGGAGATTCACAATGCACATTAGCATATTAAAGGTTCTGAGAAGTCCTGCAGTAAAGAAACCTGTTTAACTTTGTTTAATGCAGCATTTCCCAAATTATTTGACCACAGAACCCTTTTCCCACCCCCGCCCCCTTCAATAATACTTATTCAGTTTCTGTGGAAGTAGGATTCCTCAGAATACATTATAGAAAATGAGCTACATTTTTTAAACATGTAGTATTCAATATGTACCTGAATAACAACCTGTCAGGGATCTAGAAGAAACTGCCACACAGGGTAAAATATTGGAGGACAAGGTCCTTGATCCATCCCTAGTGTTCCATTATTGGAACACTAAGCTTGTGGGAATTATTTATATCCTACTGCTCAAGATCATTGCCAAGGTCTGATTTTTCACACACAAAAAAATTTGCAACCTCTGGTATAAATGGGTTAAGGTCCCTTCTCTGAGATTCTGTCCCATGTCAAAGTAAGAGCGATAGGATCTTGATTATCTATTTTAAAAGGTTTCATGAGAGAAAGGCAAGTAGAATCAAAAGGCAGTAAAATGCAAGGGTTAATTTAGTTCAAGTGCCTCCATGAATCATGTTCAAACCCCAGTCCCCTAAAAGGAAGAGAGACACCACAAGCACCATAAGCTATCAAAAGGAAACTTTGGCCAAATATCTACTGTATCTACTCCATCCACTAAGTTAATTCCTATTTGAGAGAGAGGATTTAAAATTTTTTTAAAAAAGGAATAGTCTTGCATTAGGCGACTACCCTATTCCAGCTATCTTATTTGAGTTTAATTTTTTTCATAGTACACACTCTTCTAATAAATATTTGTTTGATTGCTAGTCATTAGATTGCCCTGTGCATTCAAAGAAATGATTAAGAGTGATGATTTATAAACCATATTAAAAAAATCTATCAAAGTAGATATTAGGAAAAAAGTTTGCCTGTATGTCCCACATGATTACATTTTTCTCTCTCTCTTTCTCTCTTTTTCCTTTTTAAGAATTATATAAAACAACATACACCAAAAAATGTACTATCAGACATGAGGCTAATCCAATATTAAGTTTAAGAATATAAATAAACACGAGTCCCAAATTTCAAAGTCAAGTTTCCATAGTTACATTAATCTAAGCCATTTTGCACATATACCAAAGCCATCAAATATAACAGCATATTAAGTAACACGAAACAGTATAGGAATCTTAATCTTCTTTTTTTAAGAGATGGGGGTCTTGCTTTGTTGCCCAGGCTGGACTTGAACTGGCTCAAGCCATCATCCTGCCTCAGCTTCCTGAGTAACTGGGACTACGGGCACACAACACTGGGCCTGGCTGGGAATCTGAACTTTTGAATTCTCAACTCGAACCACTGCATTAAGGACATTTTTAGAAAAGGGGACTTTTACATTGTAACAGGTTATCGGAATGGAGGAACATGCAGGCCTAGCTGTATTGGCAGAAACACAAATAGGTTTGAAATATAGCTATGTGACATTAGACAATTCATTTCCACTCAGTGCAAACAGCAAAGCCCCATTTCTGAGAGACAGCTTTTTTGAAAAAAAAAAAAAAAAAAAAAAAATCACAGTATTTGAATTATTATCCAGCTAGCATCAGGCATACTATGTCTACCTAGCGAAAGTACTTACCAATTTTGGGGAAACTGGCTCTCCTTCAGCTCCCTAGCCCCCTATAACAGAAGAATGGGAAAATGGAATTAGACAACACACACATATTTATAACATGTCATCAAAAGCTGAAACTCAAAGATTTCTATCTGATTTTAAGAAGAAAAAACCAAAACATACAAAAATTTCCAAAGTTTTAAAACCCAAAAGAAAAAAAAGAAACAATAGGTAATTTTTACAGCAAAGAAGGAACTCAAGAGCAGTTAAATCACTACTTTTCCATAGTTTTTCAAGACAAGGGGAAGTTAGCAGTTGATAATTTTCCTTTCCTAAGAGACACATAGAAATAAAATGCACCTCATTTAAATAACATACAACTACTCCTTCAAACCCAACAAGTGACCTCTACTGTCAGTTGCTTTATAGTAACAAATTAAGCTAACATCACTAGTCCTTAGTTTGGTCCTCGTAAAAGGCATTCTTTTCAATTAATCTTGAAATGGATTTGCCTTATGCAAGGTTTTAAAATCATAGCATTTTATAATAACGTATAGTCAGAATTTTAATTAACCTTTCCTCACATTCTTAGATGTGTCTCACTTTTTTTTTTTTTTTTTTTTTTTTTTTTTGAGACAGAGTCTCATTCTGTTTCCTAGGCTCCGGTGCAGTAGCACAGTCAGCTCACTGAAGCCTCAACCTCCCAGGCTCAAGTGATCCTCCCACCTCAGCCTCCTGAATAGCTGGGACCGCAAGTGTGCTATCATGCCTTGCAATTATTTTATTTTTTTTTGTAGAGACAGGCCTCACTATGTTGCCCAAGCTGGTATCGAACCCCTGGGCTCAAGTAATCCTCCCCACCTCAACCTCCCAAAGTGCTGGAATTACAGGTGTGAGCCACCATGCCTGCCCATGTCTTATTAGATTGTAAACCACATACATAAAAGCTACTTGTTTCTATGCCACATATCTAATCCGTGATAAAGCCGGAAAGAAAATTAAGGTTTGGGGATCCCGATTTAACATTAGAAGAAAATTAAAATTTTTCCCTTAATATTTTAGTATTAAATTATTTCAACTCCACTATGTTATGCTCTAGAACTGCATGACTTCCTTTACCTTAAATATGGTGTTTGTTGACTGATACTACTCCAATAGTGTCTCATTTCCTCAGGGAATATTTCAGAAGAGCTTCATATCTCCCAGATTGTAAATCTTTGTTTAATCATGTACAGTTATACCAAACATACAATAAAATTATTTAAAAGGGCCCCAGTTCATGCAGTTAGCATTCATTTCCAAAAGAAATTCAATGTGTTGTTCTATGCTGCCTTTTCTTTAGCAGCAGTCCTTTATAAAGTCCTTAGGCCCATGCAAATAACAATTTTAATCACCAAGGTTAGGATGACTCCCAACCAAAAGAGAAAGCATGCAGCAATCACAGAACAATGCAGTTATTAAAAAGTAGATTCTTAACAATACTGATATCTATAGGACTCTGTACCACTCAAAAGGTTGCCTGAGACAGAACCAGGCACATAGTAAATGCTCAATAAATACTTGTTAAATCAATGAATTGACTAAATAGACACTTAAGCTGTCTGTTGCGGGCTTATCTTCCCTATTAGGGCTTTCATGTTAGCTCTTTCAGGCTGGGGATAATTTCTTATGCATCGATTTCCAGCAGCATTATTCGTTAAATGAATGACTTTCTGGAACTGTTTTCATCCAAGTTGTTGATTAGGAAGTAAAATATTACCATTTTAAAATATAATAAAAAGGAAAAGACTGATAAATTGGACAAAATTAAAAACTTCTGTTCATCAAAAAAACACCATTAAGAAAGTGAAAAAGCAAGCCACAGAATTGGAGGTGATAATTGCAATATGTATAATCAACACAGCCTTATACCCAGAATATATAAAATATGTTGAAATTCAAAGTAATGAGGGTGGAACTGGGATTTTAACTTACGCAGCATTAAAAAGTATTACTAAATGCTGCTGAAAAGTCATATTTAATAAAAGGCAGCATACTGTACATATACCTTATCTCCAAAGGCATTTTCTCCAAAAATGAGTAGCAGGGCCAATCCTAAACGGATAAAGAATTTTGTCATGATATCCTGAAATCATGATGTTATGAAACTGCTCATAAGACTACTTGTAGGGACTGCAGAAATCGCATAGGAAATCAAAGCCCGAGAAGTTAAGTGATTTCCCCAAAGGTTACTCAGCTAGCTGGTCATGAAGCTGAAGAAGAGCTTACTGGCTCAAGATTCCTTTAACTGAGCTCACTTTCCACTAGACCTAACTTTCTCTTAACCCACTGCAGCAGTTACTCTTCTAAAAAACAAACTACAACAAACACCAGCGAAATATTTTTTGAAAAGTTCGTATATAAAGTTTTAAAGAAAAATCACATAAGTAAGCCATCTAGAAAAGTCTTAAAACATGAAATCCTGGCTGGGCATGGTGGCTCAAGCCTGTAATCCCAGCACTTTGAAAGGCCAAGCCAGGCAATTAAAGGCCAATTAAAGCTGTGGACCCTCTTCCAAGAAAATTGTACCTATGCTGATATGTATAGAATTTAGCATAAAGTATGAAGGAGTTGACCCCTCTGAAGCGCATTCACGGGATCTCTTAGGTTTAAAAGATTTCATATTTTGTTTTGTTTTTGTTTGTTTTGTTTTTGAGACAGAGATTTCATATTTTGTTTTGTTTTTGTTTAATCCAATAGAAAATCACAAGGTCAGGAGATCAAGATCATCCTGGCCAACATGGTGAAACCCCTTCTCTACTAAAAATACGAAAAAAATTTAGCTGGGTGTGGTGCGCACACCTGTAATCCCAGCTACTCGGGAGGCTGAGGCAGGAGAATCATTTGAACCCAGGAGCGGGACACTGCAGTGAGCCGAGATTGTGCCACCACACTCCAGCCTGGCAACAGAGCGAGTCTCTATCTCAAAAACAAAACAAACAAACAAACAAAAACAAAACAAAATATAAAATCTTTTAAATCTAAGGGATCCCATGAATGCGCTTCAGAGAGGTCAACTCCTTCATACTATATGCTAAATTCTATATATATCAGCATAGGTACAATTTTCTTGGAAGAGGGTCCACAGCTTTAATTGGTTTCACAATGAGGTTCACATACCCAAAAAGAGGAAATTATTTTTAGACTAATGATTCTTAAATACTGTACACATCAGAAATCCCAAGGTGTTTCTTCTGAAGATTGAATATTAATTGACTACCATTTGGAAATTAAAAAAAAAAGAAAAGCAAATATTTTACTTCTATAATTTAAGAAGACTGAGCACCAAAAAGCAAGATCTATACACACATTTGTGCTTTTTACACACTATCCATATGTAAAACATATTTAAGTCTGAAAGCAAGTTTGAGTTCTTCATGTTAAGCTGGTTAAAAGCCACTTTGTTTGTTTCTCACATACATTTCACACTTCTAACTAAGGTAGTTCAAAATTTTAACCATATTTGCTAAAATTTTTAAAAGATAAATTTGTTCTTGAAAAATATATCCAAAACATCTAGGTTAGAGTAAATGAAATTATTTTTGCTTTTAGAGGTATTATATTGTCTTGCTAATATAAAGTCATACAATTTTTCACAAATAGAAGATTGTTCACCTCTCTAGAACTTCGCAGGTAACTGCTCTAATTAGAGCTGGTAAAGAAACAAATTATCTAGATTTCTGATATGGTTATAATATTTTAAATATTATAAATAAATAAATCTAATGCGATTAATATTTAAGTACCTTTTGTAAAATATCTAAAACCCTTGTATATGAAGAATCTATATTAAACAAACAAAATTTGCAGAGAAAAAGTTTAATACTAGATAATGTTTTAAATTAAGCTAAAATTTAATACACCCTACTACAAATTTCAAATGATTAAGTTTATAGCCTGTGCTCAATCATAAATTTTGATAAGGGACTAGAATAGCACAGATTAATTGTCATTCAAAGACACTTTAAAATGTCACCTTACCCAGAAGATTCAATCTCTTCTCTTCCCCTACTGTAAGAGGCCCCAAAACTGAGCTTTATATACTGCAGTTTTTAGTGCTTTTTATCTGCCCTTCCTAACTTCCAACAGAAAGCAAGTAAGTTTGAAATAAATTTAAATGCAGATAAGTGGTTAGAAGAAAAAGCAGAATCCCACTTGATGAGTTTAGTCTCTGGGGCCCCAACATCTTAATAACCATCCCTCTTGTCCCCACCTCTTATCCTCTCCTGGACATCCCTCTAGCTTTTCCCTTTACTCTCATGGAGCATCAATTTTCCCCGCATCATTACTGGATCATTTTGTTCCTTCTATCTTAAATAATAATAATTTAAAACAAAATTTTTAAAAACCTCCCTTGACTCCATATCCTTCTCTAGTTATTGTCCCTGTCTAGATTCATATTTATAGCAAAACTCCCCGAAAGAGTTAATCATACTCCCTGTCTCTAATTCCTCTCCTCCTATTCTCTATTGAACACAACCCATTAGGCCCTTTGCCTCCCTCCATTCCTGTCAAGATCACCAGAGATTTAACAGTTGTTTAATCCAATAGAAAACAGTCTTCACTTCCTTGACCAGTATTTTTTGACCCACTGATCATTTCCTCCTCCTTGAAATTTCTTTTCTCTTGACTTCCAGGAGACTACCCTCCCTGATTTTCTTCCTCATCTCTCTGGCTACTCTCCCTGGTTTCTTTTGCTGGTTCCTCCTTACCTCCAACACCTCGAAATGTGAAATTGTCCCAGGACTCATTTCTTGGAACTCTTCCCCTTAGGTGATCTCACACAGTCTCATGGCTATAAGAGGATCTACACCCTGGCAATTCCCAATGTTTATCCCCAGCACAGATCCTTCCCCTGAATTCCAAACTCATATACCTAACTGCCCACTCAACACTGGTCAAATAGGTATCTCAAGCTCAACACATCCAAAACTAAACTCCTGACTACTCCCCTAACTTCCTCCTCAGAGTCATGCTCATCTCAATAAATCCCCACCCCTTCAGAAGAAAAAAATCCTAAAAGTCA